TGTCAGTTTCATACATAATTCAGTCTCCGGCTAATCCAGCGCCAAAGCACAAAATTGGAGCATTAAACTTCCTAAATGCAGTCGCCTCTGAGATTATCCAAAGATGCAGAAGGGGAAAAACGCCATCGCCCTCAACATAGCTGACAATATCGTGATTGACAACATTAAGCATACGGTTTCGAGGGTGTGCAACATCGTTGAGACCGATATTAGTTGTAGAAGATTAATGAAAAAATCTTTACATTTTCCTTGTCCGACTCTGTTCAGCTTTCGTAGCGGAAGTCTCTCAAGTTCGTTTGGCAAAAGTCAAAATAATTTAAGATCTGTTCCGAAATTTTGCAGTTATTCTATTCGAGGACAGGTCACCTTTGCAACGTGAGCTTCAACGCATGAGTGCAACAAATGCCTCGCCTGAGCCGAAGCAGAGTCACCCCCCTGCGCGCTTCCTGCAGTGCCAAGAAGGAGGTCATTCAACAGTGTTTGGTTCTCCGCTTATAAAAACGGAGATAATGTTAGCAAGGCCAGTCTCCACACAAGCGATGCTAACCTTGGCGACAGCGTAGCGGAAATTGAGATGCTCACGTCTCCACACCACATCAGTCTTGTAGACATAGGAAATGGTGTAGATGCACTCATTATGACACGTTCTGACAAATCGGTAGGGATTGGGATCAATCCCCCCAACGCGATTAAAACAGATACAAGTCCAAACACATCAAATGGGACAAACGATAGCTCCAGTGAAGGTGCATTACAGCCACTTGACATTATGACTACACATAGCAGCAGTGGTCATGGTTCTCGCCCTAAGCGTCGTAGATCAAACAGGGGCCTTCGTGCTAGAAAGGTGACTCCCCGTGTCCAAATGACAGTCGTGAATAATAATGCAGCTGCACAGAGTGGCAAGCCACAATTCTCCATTGTTCTGCCGATGTGCCAAGGCTGTTCTCCTGGCAGGCCTGTACATGGCTTTGCTGAAACACAGAACACTTATTTATGCCCCAATCCATACTCACTTCCTCCTCCTCCTCCTCCCAAAATGCCTTCTGCGAGCTCTTCGGCAATAACACCCTATCCACTTAAACTCAATCGCCCCAAATTACCACAGCATTATTTTTGCATTCCCCCACATCCTCTAATCCCGATAGGACTGGCGAATCTCACGGTAAGGGATTTGCTGCGGAAGGCTCTAGAACTGATGTGATTGCAAGAGTAAATACTGGATGAAATGATGAACACCGCCAGTACCTTTTAAGACTGATGATATTAATATCCGTTCTCTGTTGAATAAACTTCATTTACTCCGCATCTTCATAACTCTGAATAAACCTGATATGATTTTACTCACTGAAACCTGGTGTCATGATTCTGTGCCCAGCCAGCTGCTCTCTATCGAAGGTGACAAGCTTATTAGAAGTGATCGAAAGCAAGGCAGAGGATGTGGTTGCATGATTTACTACGCACAGAACCTCCTTGTGTCTGAATCCACACTTTCACTTATACGCCCCAAGAGTGATTCCGCTTGGTTACTCTTGTCCTTCGGTAGTAAGCGAGCTCTTGTAAGCTGTATATACCGTTCACCCGGGGCCAGCTTCAGTGATGATAACCAGTTGGTTGACATCTTCAAGTACATATCGGAACTTGGTTCTTTTGATAAAGTTGTAGGTGGAGATTTCAACCCACCAGATATCTGTTGGTCAAACTTAGTAACAAACGCGAAACATGCAGAGTTCATAACCTCCGTCATCACTGGTGGTTGGGAGCAACATGTTCTCGTGGCTACCAGGGGAAAAAATGGACTAGACCTGCTTTTTACTTCAGGCACCTCCCAGATAGCTACTGATGTAATTGACGGTTTCCCTGGATGTGATCATAAAATAGTCGAATGTAAAATTATAGCTGAGTCGTCGCATGTGAGGTCTGCAGTAGTTCCACACTTCCTTCATAGTGGTAACTGAGTAGATTTCTCCGCTTTCCTCAGGGTCCAAAATTGGGACAATTTTTTTCTTTCGTCTGACATTAAAGGAGCGTCTGACATCTTCTATGGCAACGTGACTATGTGCTTAAGCATACTTGCCTCCCGTGATACTACGAGAGCCTCTTCTAAGTACGCTAACAACGCAAAGGACAAGCGGAAAATACGAGTGATAACTCAACGTATGAACGTACCCACGACTTCAGCGTATTACTGAGACTCCAACGCCTTGTAATAGAGACGGACATGAAACACCACACCCGTCTTATGCAGGAAGAATAACGGGCTATAAATAGAAGTAATACAAGTCAACTGCATTACTGAGAAAAAGTAGAGGCGGCAAAACTGACCTACCCTCCCACATCGTCATGCCTGAAGGCGAATGCATTGAATCCCCAATTGCCATGGCAGAAGCTTTTAACTCATACTTTGCTAGATCCTTTAATCTTGAAAAAGAAATCCTGGAATTGTCAACATCCTTTCACTTCTCTGAACAAGTCTCCGACAGAGCTTAGGGCCGCTACGATAAAACGTAGGATTACCCGTCTACGACCATCCTACAGACCTGGCCCCGATGGGATCTCTTCTGCTTTAGTCAAACAAGGTGCGGAAGGTATCCCTTTTGTATTAGTAACTAGCTGTGTGAAGAAGTGCCGGTTCATGTATGATACCGGGGAACATCGACTAGAATGCACTAGAGAAAACACATCATCTAGGATGAGCTGTTACAACCGCTTCTTGTGCTATTCCTTAATGCTACCTCCTATGCGGTTTTACTCCTTTCAAACTTAATTGATATCAAATTTCTTCTGTTTAAAACCGAGAGCCAGATATTTTATTGGTGTGGCGTCAAGGACTATTTTCGTAATTTTCTCCACAAATTGATTAATTTGTAATAGTATTCTGTGATCGCATTCACAACATTTGTTCTGCAGTGCTAATTATTTCCCTTCTTTTCTGGAGTTAAGAGTCCGGAAACATATACTTAAATTCAGTGATGGCAATAACGCATTCCCCACGTGACTTTTACCTATGGACAACTCGTACAGTTATCTGTCTCCGGATGTCACGCCACGCTACCTGCTATTTTTTACAGTAGCGATATAGTACCTCTTCCACATAATTCTACTTTTCTATATTCTTCCTTAGTTCATTGTTGGCCACGACTGGGCTGGTCTCCTGTAGTGACGGATTATAGCTTCCAGATTATAAAAGACTTTACCTATGCACATTGCTACAAATTGACTGGCGTATAAAAAGTGCCATAATTGAATGATCCGCATGACGGACTGGGCTGAGGCTTCATCGCTCATAATACAGGTATAAAAGCAGCGCTAAAAATAACACAACATATGATAAACAGGTGATGGCTCATATGCTACTATGCCATACCGGCACGCGGCCAGATATAGCATGGAAGTGCGGGCGAAACCTTTTGAGGGAATACCTTGCATGGAAGCAGGTACCCTGAGGACTGTTCCACGAGTGGCCGTATTAGTTTAACTGGACATTTGTTTAAATGTGCCTGTGTTATTGTTCCTGGTTTTCAATTTCTTTACTACCTTAATCATGCCAATTACTTTAATACCTGTTTTGGATCCATTGTAAAAATCGTGAACAAATTGAATATTTTGCGACCCTGTTGTACACATTGATCAGACCACATAGTTGGACTGCGCCCCGAAACACCGAGGAATATACCACTTATATATATATATATATATATATATATATATATATATATATATATATTTATAACAGTGTTGAGCGGTTCAGTTGGTATTCCTGTATGAAACAGAAAACGCTCATAGATCACGCGGTGTTCCCACCAGAAGTGTGGAAACCTGTACAAGTAGCGATGGTCGAACTCAACTGACTACTTAATTCTGTCGATTTGATGAGCTTGTTTTGCAGCCACACAATGGGATTGAAGGTACACCTGGATTGTACACTCTACCTTTCAGAATGAGAGTGATGCCGCACCTGCGTCAAAGATGCCGGAAAGTGTAAAAAGTGTCACGAGCTTCTGCTGTGCGGTTCGTGATCTCACATAATTGTCAAGGGACGTGAATTTCTGGACAACCTCTAGCTCACCCCATCGAAGGTCAGCGCAGCAGTGCGTCCCTGCAATATTGTAGAAGGATAAAAAGCATAGCGGAAGCGACTAACAAGCAATGATAACCTGCCCAGTGCCACATGGTCCGTTTGGGAGTTGTCACATATTAGGACAATGTCGTTGACACACTCCAAGTTAACAAGTCAGCTGAGAGCAGCACCACCTTTTCGAAGTGGTATTCAATGAATGCTTTTTCCATGACTTAGTTAATGGTGAAATTAAAAAGGTAGGATGGCTGTAGGTAACGTTGTCTCACACCGCTGAAATTACTGAAGGACGGAGACAGTTTTCCATAAGTCTTCACTCTGTCCAAACTATGTGCGTACATCGCAACGATAAGGTTTACACATTTCTGTGGCACGCCTTTCCTGATTAGACAGTCCCAAAGTGTACACCAATCAACCGAATAGAAGTTACCTTTGATTTCGATAAACACAGCCATGGTGGGTCGCCAATCTGCACGGCGACGCTCCAACAACTGACAGAGTAAAGATGTGGTCAATACAGCCTCGACGAAACCCGACTAGCTCCTCACGAATTTGGCTTTCACGGGTGCTAGTCAGTCCATGGGGGACGAGTGACGCAAAGCAAATGCATGAGTATGGACAGACTGTCTTGATGGGCTTCAAGAAACAAAGCTGGATGAATCTAACGATTATAAAAATATAAACATCCCATCGAATGTATGGCCATCCCAATACGTTGTTTGTCAGGAGTGTGTGGTCCATAGAATTATTATGGGTAGACTACTGCTTTACGTTTAGTTTTTTGGTCGCAGACAACATCACCTGCTAGAACTAAATCATCTACTACCCGTAAAAGATGAAATGCTACAGTCCTGTTTGCCAGAATCACTAGCTAATTTGCGTAAACACATGACTGGCAAAGCAAGCGTAACATATTTGTTACTTGTATAATTGCAATACTTATGCGGTAGGTCCACAAGGGCGCACGTTGATGGCATTGAACCAGCAGGTGACGGGCCACACGCGGAATGACACCTGGTTCGGATGGAATGCCCAACATTGTGTACGTCTTGCCTGTTCCAGTTTGTCCATAGGCCATAATTGAAACACTGTAGCTGAAAATGGTGGATGGGAATTTGCCTTGTATTCATTAAGTGGAAAACACTCATCAGCGAAAACAAGCACAAGCAACCGGAATGAATTGTTGCGGTGACCGAATAATAAAAAAACAGCCATCATAAGCACGTCTGGTAAGCAACAGGACCAGCGCAGCAAGTAAATTGCGAGTGGCCACTCTGCGTAGCAGCAAGCTTCTACCAGTCAACAAAGATTGCTCAAGTACCCTGGAGAGCCCAATTAAACATCCCCGTCCGGCTGAAGCTTGATTACGAACGCCTACGGCATCCGGCTCTGGCTTTGTTTGAGGCTCAGCATTTACTAGCAAACCACTTGCTATCACACAGTGAAGAGGTGAACTCGTTTGGTGACGCAACGTTTGCAATCAAATTCCTCAGCTGGAAGGTCCAATCAACATACCAATTGTTGCAGTCATGCAAGCGTGATTTCACCAATAACTGCGGGTAAGAGGCTACACAACTAGTACAAGAATGTACTAATTCCATGAGAAGTGACTTGACGCAAAAATGACGTCTAGCTTGGAACGTCTACAAAGGAGCCAGTTATCTGCGAATACGCTTCGCTTTGAAAATTATCAGTAGTGAAATCCCAGCAACCGTTTATTCGATTTAACTTTAATCTTTTTGGTCACATAGGAATAAGCATTCCCGAGAAAGCTGCGTATTATCTTTCATCCTGGAGTTAGCGATGGTAATTTCTGCCACGATTGTGTTTGCTGAACTAGATAGTTCCATAAACGTGCAGAACCTGGTGAACTCAGATGCGCCAGCATTCAGTTGCCCTATCGGTAAAATAAACCTCTGTCTTCCACCGTGGCAAGATCAAATGAAAGTCCTTTAGCTGCTAATATACAACACGTACATACTATGTGGGCATAGAGAGATAAAAGTTGAGAATATGGGTGGATTTGATCATTTGCTGCCTTCCCTACTGAGTGCTTAAAGCATGTATATAATCTGTCATCCGTACATTTCACGCGCACACAAATGGAAGTTCTCTCACTTGGACTGAAGTACCGATTGCCGCCAAAAGCTATAGATAAGCTCAACACGCAAGCTCAGTTTGAGTATTTGAATGAACAGCTCAGTGACCATACGCCAAGATCAATGGAAGATGCAGGTTGGTTCCGGGCAAAATTGGTAGATATTGCGAACCAATACTTGAGCACGCCGATAAGCCAGAGATGCTGTCTGAAAGCCGAACACTATACAGCGATCAAGGAGTTAAAACAAATGGGACACCTAATGTTTCTGCAGCCGGATAAGTGATCAGGCATTGTGATAATGGACCGGTCTGACTACGTTGCAAAGATGGAATCTATTTTGCGGGACAGACGGAAATTCCAGTTAGACATGACACCAGAAAACAACATATTGGTCGAGAAGCAAGTGGCGAGGAAACTGCAGATTCTCTTACTTCATGGTTACATCAATGACTCGTAATACAGACGGTTGAAACCGACCGGCACTCAGACACCCAGAATGAGGGGCGCCCCCAAATTACACAAGGCAGGTAACCCACTGCGCCCGATTATGTGTATGAACAACTCACCGTATCACAACGTTGCGCGGTGGCTAACGAAAATGTTGGAGCCAGTACGCAAACTCCTGACTACATATTGTCTAAAGGACTCCTTTGAATTGGTCGAGACACTGGAACATGTGTCGCTGGGTGCGGAGCACATGTACTCAATAGATGTCGACTCCCTGTTCACAAACGTGCCTCTACGTGAGACGGTTGAAAATTGTGATTTCATCGCGAGTCAAAACATGTCTGTTGGCCTGCCGCTGGAGTATTTGAGGGATATGATTCTATTGTGCACGGAAAATATACGGTTCGAATTTGAGGGGACTGCTTATAAACAGATCGACGGCGTCGCCATGGGTAGCCCTCTGGGACCAGTACTAGCAGACATTTTTCTCGGTTTGATAGAAAGACAAGTTACTGCCAGCATTTGTGAGGCTACGTTGTACAAGCGGTATGTGGATGACATCCTAGTCTTCACCACCGACGAACATTTTGCGCGGCTGTTGGAAGCTCTGAATTCAATTCATCCAAACCTATCGGTGTCCCATGAGTTGGAGCAACATGATAGTCTGCCAATTTTGGATATACTCATTAAGAGACGGACTGATGGTACACTGCATCGTACGGTTCATCGCAAGGCAACTTGGAGTGGGCGGTACCTCCACTTTTCCAGCTTTGCCCCGGTCGCATACAAACGTGGCCTAGTGAAAACGCTTTTCTACAGAGCCAGACGAATATGCAGCCCCGAAATGTTGCAAGCTGAAGAAAAATTTTTGTTCAAAACCTTGGTGTCGAATGGGTATCCTGAGAAGTTCGTTCAGATCCACAGCAGGCCTCCCAAGGAGAAAATACCGGTGTTAACCGCAGAGAAAAAGAATGTTTACTTGTTCTTGCCGTTCAAAGGAGACCACGTATCAAATGATATTGGACATAAACTCCGGTCCGCCGTTACGCACACCTACGCGACCGCCCCGTTGCGACTCATTCATACAACGCGAAGACTTGTTCTTCATAACCGTCAGAGCAACTCATCAGTCAGTTCGGCCTCTCACGTCGTTTACCAGTTCACCTGCGGTTGCGGTGACATTTACATAGGCAGGACTGACCGTCAGTTAGCTCAGAGGGTAGCTGAACATGTGCCAAGGTGGTTGGAACAACTGATGACGCAACAAAACGGAGTGGATCCGAGGATGAACCGGAGTCCCGCATCGTCTATCACCAAGCATCTCTTGGCAACCCGACATCAGGTGAACCCGGAGACTGCGTTCAAGGTGTTGTTACGTAACAACAATCCGCTAATATTGGCAATCAGTGAGGCCTTGTTAATTAAGGCTTATCAACCTGCGTTGTGTGCACAGAAACTATTGAGACAATCAATTAAGTTACCGTGGTCTTGATTTTAACATTTTGATTGGTGTATCAACCTTTTCCCCCTGTATATAACTGTCCATGAGTCCCGCTTGTATTGTGTTTTGCGACTGATGAGAACAATCGAAATGTTAACATATCGCAACATATGTCTTCTCACTGCTCTGACTAAATGGCTGAAGGGGACCCACTGTTTTACATTTGCTATCAATTAAGTAAAATTGGTGCCCCCGAACATGTAAAAGCTGGGAGTAAATTGCGTTGCCTGGAATCATGTGCGTAAGACAACCGGTCCATCCGATTACCTCAGTGTCTGGTATGTTGTGACTCGCGGCTGTACGGAATAACCTGGAAGCGCCTAACTCGTGGGTTCCTAAGTCACCATTTACTTACATTTAAACCGTCGCGTCCATGAGAAGATAGAAAAGTTATCTTATCGCAAGCCTGTCACATGTCTAAAAGCAACTTGTAAGCGAATATCGAGAGAGAAAAGGTAAAGAAACAAAAATATTTCCAAAACGTAAAGGACGTCTTTTTATATCCAATCAAACTGAAACGCGACACTGCAAACTGCAAATATGACATTCACCAAACGACAATTCCCCGGAAAGTATCTCATCCATGTTTGTCAGTTTGTTGGGTTTAATACTTTGGGTCAAGTCAACAATAACAACAACGTGAAGACCGTTAGGGTCGATTACGAAGGAGCACTGCAGCTTTATTCGAGAGCGACTGCACTCTAGTTATGAGCTGTGAAAATGATATCGTACAGAACATACTCATTAGTGACAAAATCACTCAGCGGCTTAAGAAGAAAGCTAGCCACCTTTACCCTAGCTACTTAAGATCACTTTGAGAAACTGTGAGGCGCTAGAATTGGAGTGAATAAATTTACACCTTCATAACGACCTGGATGCGTCTAATTCAAGTCTGTTGGTAAGCGGCTTTTTAGGATGGCATGTACCTTGTGAAAATACGTCTGGTAGATTAAGGAAAATGAGGCGAAAGCCGGAACGAAATCTGACGATGCATGCACGTAAATCTCACCCGTCCACGCAAGATGTCACCAGTTCACTGACTTCGTCGAAGATAGCTTTCTGCGTTGATCCAGGTTGAAATATACGATATGCTCTGACGGCGTGTAGTCCCCCAGGTATGCTAGAAGGCAAGCATGTAGCAGCTCCAGATGCAGGTTTTAGGACCATAGTATCATCAGTCAAAAAACGGAAAGCGCATTCCGAATCCTGCGTTGAGTGACATCTGGCGAAAATGCAGACCGGAGTGCAGGGCTCATTTCACTGTGCACGTTGGCATCCGATCACTAACTATTTAGCGGCAGTTGGAAAGACTGAACGCAATTCAAATGTGTGAGACCAAATTCGGTGCACAACAAAAGACACAGACAAGATTAGTGACATTAGAGAATTGAGCAACGTATTCGGTAAGGTGAAAAAGTCCGTCCGAACCAACAGTTCGAGCGAAGTAAAGGTAACGTGTGATGTGTGCACGTTCAAGCGAGCATGCATCAAGCTTGGATTTTGACACATTACAAGTATACACCGGGAACATGGTAACAATCCTGCTGAAACTTTAAAACTCCTAAAATTATCATCCGATTCAAATTAGTTAATCCCTTAGCAGAATTTGTAAAAATAACAAAAAGGCAGAAATGTGTCAATCACATTACATCTCGACTGAGTATGGGAGAAGACGTGACAATGGTTCTAGCGGATATAGCTGTACATGAGGCTAGCTTAACTTAACGGCAAAACGAAACCAAGCTATCTTGATGGACAAATAGGAAGTTTGGTTAAAGTTTCAGAGGAGTGAAGCAGCTTCCGGGTACAGAGGTATGAAGAAACCAAAACTACTGTTCATGCAACTCTAAGGGTAGTTCGCATCCGGCAGTTATCCGACCGACTATATAAAGACATGGTGATAATCATGAAGTAGAATAAATATTAGGTTTGGATATTAGCACAAAACAATTCCATGAACGAACTGTTTTCGCTAATATTGAATAACATGTGAACTTATAAGCAAACGTTCCGTGGCATGAGCAAAACGAATAGGACTAGAGGTAATTATCATTTCATGGGACTGGTCGTACTGCTGGCACTGTGTTAATATAGTCTGTTTCAGATGTGAACCCTTGGTGCTGCTTATGTCTGGTCAAGTCCACAGAAACAATTGCTAATGTGGCCGAGCTCATCTTTCTTAAGCAGTTCCTAGGCAAGAAGACTAACATGCATGAGTGAATGGGAAAACGCAGTGTCTCATTATGCAGTGGACCAATCAGTGCACTTGATTGTGAGGTAGTGGTGCACTTCCAACTGAGCACTCTCGTTTGGTCAGTCACTCTACGCATATACTTGCTACAGCCTCGTGTTGTGTCCACGTTACAAACTTTACTGGTACTGCAGTTGGCGTGTGATATACCACGGGTGATACAAAGGACTGCGGATGATAACGCGAAGGCCCAATAATATGACAGTTACTGCTGTCATACTTAGCAGCGGATATGCACCGCTACAGACAAAAAATCACCAGAATTTCTATAGCGCAACCTTTGACAAATACATGTGTCAGGCGGTGCCGTGCGTGTGTGGATAGAGTAACTGATTGTTGGTAGATGTACTAGCGTTGGTTAGTAACAAGTGAGCGGAATTAAATTGATTAGATTGATCTGCTTTGTAGAACTGTCTAACAAGGAAAGTTGTACCTGAGGAGTTTGTAGCCATTCTGAGGGGAATGCACTGTCACATATGGGCAAGTCGAAGCTAAGTTAGGCTTTCCTCTTCGTCTGCTGCCGCCGGAAGTGTCGTCCATTCACGATTCCATTTCACCTTTCTTTCTTGAATTTGTCATAGAAGATGTCTAACGAGCACCAGAAGGCTATCAGAACGGCAATGTCGAGCTTCTACTTGGTTGCAGCGTCGCGGACTTGGATTACATCATAATGTCGCTTCAATAGGGAATGGTTCACAAGCAGTCCGAAACACTTTGAACCGCTTAGCGATAGAGACATCCAGGTGCTAACGGTATTTTACCCCAGCTATATGTAAAACCACTGCAAGATTGACACGCGCTAGCGCCCGCGTCTAACACTGCTAGCGAGATGGTGGAACAAGTCTCCTGCTTCATTTATTTAGGGAGTTGTATTACAACTGATGGCGATGGTAGGGATTAGGATCCACAATAAATTTTAAGGGCTCGTATTGTATTCATCAAATCAAAACTTACACCACGCCTTCGTTGTGTCACACTCAAGCGAAAGGGCATAGTGCACAATGCCTCCGTCCGTTCGATCCTCTTGTACGGCTGTTAGTAGGGATGTCCAACGTCCAACCCCAGGGCCCACTTCGGCCTGCATCCACTTTTCAACTGGCCCGCGGCTTCATCATGAAATAATAAAGTCAGGCTTGGACTTTTTCGTACATGTGTAATTTTGTTATTATCTTAATGTTAGACTGAATATGGCACGACATATTTTTACTTCACAAAAAGTTTTGGACACCCCTGCCTGTTAGACCTGATTAGTTGCCTCGGTAGACATCGAACGATTGTCAGTTTTGACAACGGTTGCCTGCAAACGATTGCTCGTGAATGGTGGCGGTGTCACGTAAGCATTACGGAAGCTTTTGAACGAGTGTCTGAAGTGAACAGTTCTTGCCTCGAAAACCCTAATCATTGACAGCGTATGTGTTGGTTCAGCCTCGTATTACGCATGTCAACTTAGCCCCTTCCTTGTCGAGCGTCACTTGTGTCTTCCGGAAGCGAATGGACAGTGTCTAGGTGAACAACCAAATGACGTGTACAAGATGTCAAAAGGCAAGTTTGAGCTTGGTATCAGTCGGACAAGTCCACCTAACGGGCTGGGGAACCTAAGACAAGGATTCACAGTGGTTTCCATTGTTGGATGTCATGGTCCGCAGCAGACACTATTGATGACAGCGTTATTCAACCCTCCTATCTATTATTAAAGCTTCAATAAAAAGACATAAAAACGCAAAACGGAGTGTGTGAAATAAACCTAATACCCCCTGGACTCAATCAGATCGTCGTCACGGACCAGAAATAACGCTACACGGCTGGTTCATCCTCTCAGGAATCGTCAGTAGTACGCACTACATCTTACCCCAGGAAAGGGCTTGAACTCGCAGCTTGAATGATGTCAATCTGACGGCCGATGGTGTTCGAAAGAACCAAACGGCCGTAAAGTGTTTTTCTGGGCGTATGCCTAAGTTTATAGGTGATGAATTTCTAATTAGATCATCAAACTTCACCAACCAATCCCCTTTATTCAATACGCAGAACCAACTGTTTATAATGCCATAGGTTAATTGGTGGCTTAAGCTTGTTATCTTCGTCGCTTGGTGAGGGGCTACCCTGTCCTCTGCACTGTAGTAACGTGAAAGCCAGTGTATAGTGAGCAGCGTTATATCACATATAGTAACTTATTCACGGCGGTGGAGCCACCTCGACATCATGACCCTTATTATTAAGAATTTCCCAATCAAATAACTCGTTGATCCCCATTTGAATTCAAAATTTGCGAAGTTGCGCAGACAGTGCTTTTAAGCACAGATGCGAACGGAATGCTGTTCTTTGCTCCGGCTCAAAAGTAAGTAAGCTGCGAGCACAGTGGGAGTGGCGAATACTGCACTTTCCAAGGTCAAAATCACGAATGAAGACGGCCAGCATACCAAGCACAAGTTTTACAATCTAATGGCAATACCGGTGTTGCAATATGGGGATTAAAACATGGTCACCGATTTGAAGACATTGGTATTTAGAAATAGACATTCTGAGAATCCGTTAGTAGTCGGCTAGTTTGTGTCCTCCGTATGGTCATCAACCTCCATGTAAGGCGCTCAAGGTTAGCCACCCCAGTCTCATAAGTGCGAGGATTGGGTCATCAATCTGTCGTCAACCAAAATTAATAACAAAGTCATCTGCATCAACACATGTAACTAACTACTTAATCACTATTGATTAGAATTCGTGACAAATCATGATGGAGTGGCCAGCGAATTAGACAATTTTCGATAATAGATTTTATTACCTAAAATAAACCTACAGTCCAACCCGCCATAGTGACTAACTGTCCAATGCGACCATATTTTATCGGTCCTTTGAGTGGTCGCCTTAGACAGATATGACTGTAGAAGCTTGCAAAGCAGCGCAGCCTAATGGCGCCTTTATCGGCTCGCTCATCGATTGTTATTCTTTTGAGTTGCAGTCATTCGCCGGGTGGAATTACAGAGCTGAGTGAATACTAAGGTGGTGGGTGCATAGGTCAGCAGACCAGGTAAAGGAGCGAGCGAATGTTTATAAGGCAGAAGGGACAAAACAGGCGATTAGGGTTCAGGACGTACGGAAGCAGTGCTGGTGGGAAACTGTCATGCAGGACGGACTTGAAAGAGATGTTGGAAACAAATGAGAAGCCAATGACATCTGTTGTTATAAGCTCAGGGATCACACACCAAAGCAAGGAATCAAATAAAGTTGGATCCGAAACCACACCAAATTTTCCGTAAATAAAAGCAAAAATAAAGTAATTAATTAGCATTCTAAACTGGCAATTTTGGGAGCAATTGTTTATAATGAACCCACTTTGTCTGTACCAACCACAAAAAGGTTGAGAATCAGTGCTCTATCTGTTTGATACCGCGAGGTGGCCATTCAATGGTACCGGAAAAAGACAAGGGAACTGATGGGATGATAGTGCCATACCCATTGGTAACGGACATAAAATTGGTCACACGCGGGACCGGAAAACTGAAATCGCATAGTACAACCAGCACCACTACTGTTGAATAATTGCTATGTGTTACGCGTTCCTAACGCTGTCTACAGACCACTTAACACTCGTTTGCATTCGTCAGATGGATATGGCAGGATTGCAACTCGAGCTGACGGTGCAGAGGCCAAGAGCCGAAGGATTTGCATCCAATCTTGCGACTAAATGGCTATACGGATAAGTAGATCTTGGAAGCAACCTACCAATTAAAGTGGCAGCAGCAAACGTCACTGCCAGTTAGTTAAATATAATTTATCAAATTTTAACTTTAGAGAATCTTCACTGTGTGACTATAAGTTTGGATGTGCTATGGTCATTTCTATTCCTAATAGGTAGCCCTATTTTCAGCTCACATCGATTAATAAGCAAACCTCGGTACAATACTGCAGTTAGAACATCGTTTGCAACATAGGGAAGCACACAATCAAACTGGTATCGCGTTTGATGTTCGCAACTC